CACTGCGGGCAGCGCACGGGGTGTTACACACACGCGAACCGCTGGCCAAGTTACCCAGCTCAATGTCGAAGCCTGGGCAAGTCAATTCTATGAAATCCAGTTTTCCTGCGCATGTGCTGACCAGGTGCTGCCGTTACCCCAACTTGGCACCGGCGCTGCCCCAACTCTGCTACGACTGAGCTGAAAAAGGCCTGGGATATTGGTTCCCTTCATTTCTTCCTTCCTTGAAAGCCAAGGAACTAAAGCACTGAGATGCCCCCCCCACCCGAAACCCTGCCAGGCGACGACGAGCGAGCGGGTGACAGATCCTGCCACAGCACGGGACAGTTTCCATCAGCCCAAGTCACGTTTTGCTTTCTGTTTACCAAGGAACATTCCCCCGTGGTTCACACAATGAGCCTGGAGTTGAATCAATACGACAGACCAAACAAGAAAAAAAAACCAACCTCACCCAACAATTAACCACCCTCTGATGCCTGGAATTAACACCCTGAGTCCCCCCCTCCACTGCCGGCTGTCCCCAGCCGGGAGGGAGCTCCCCTTCCCTGGGAGGACGCAGGAGCTGCGTGTCCCGGCCCCAGGAGAGGAGAGGGATGGGACAGTCTTGGCGTGAGTGGCTGTAAAATCCACAGGGCTTCCCCGCGCAGGGACACACCGCCCAGCCCCGGGGCCGGTGCTGCCTGGAAAACCAACACAGGGAGCAGAAACTATTTTGTTCTTCGCTTGAGCAAGCGGACATTGCTGGGTGAGACTCAGAGATCCCTCGGCAGGGGACCCTGCAGGACTGGGACAGGCTTTTTAAGCAACTATAAGACTTACATCAGCTTTTTAAGCAAATTAAATCTCCTGGCCCTCATCCAGCAGGACAGGAGGCTGCAGTAAGGCTCCAGAGCTGGGTTTCCAGGCAGACCTGCTCACGAGAACCATGCTGGGCCTCCAGATATACGTGGGCAGCTCTGTACTGGCGATCCCTCCTGAGGAGGGAGGCTCGGAGCTGCACTGCATCACCTCTCTAGTCCCTGCTTGGCAGCTAGAGAAGAGCTGGCTTTGGGCTCCCCTTGCCTGGGACAGCGATGCCAACGGAGGAGAGGACACTTCCCTCCCCAGTCTCACGCTGGGTCAGAGGACCCTTCGGGGCTGCTGAGGAAGGGTTGGTTGGAGGGTCCAACAATAAAGACAGAGGAAATCACAAAGAGACTGAAAATAGCCGAGGAATGGAACGACAGAAGAAACACCAGGGGACCTAAAGCCAGCTCCAAATCCTACCTGGACCAGCAAAGTCACCAGCCTCTCAACTGAACCAGCACGGACTGGCTACAGAAAGCACATCAGCATCAGGTGAAGCCTGGTCATAGCCAAGCCCCAGGAGGGGCCCGATCCTGCCAGTGGCATCTCTTCCCCGGCTCCAGGCAGGGGATGAAGGGGTAATCGGGGATGAAGTTCTCCTTGTGCCGCCTTTCATTTGCTGGGTTTGAGCGCAGGGTCCTGGGTCAGTCCCCAGATCCAGCCAGGCTGCCCGGGCTGCAGCAGTCACGCTTCCCTTATAACCGCTTGTCTTTGACAAGTCCATTCTTCAGGTGCATCCTGTGAAAGAGAGTGCAGCAGTGAGCGCAGGCTCCGCACCGACTCTCCCTCCCTTACTTTCACAAATCGCTGCTGAGGTCAGACCTGTCTCGATAGGCTCACGCGGACAATTTGTCCCATCAACCAAACCTGCCCTGTGGGATCCAGCATCTTGCAGGACTTTGTACCCACCGCATGAAGCGCAGATGCTGCTCGGAAAGAACAGCCTCAAGCAAAGAGCTGGTCCTGTGTGGCGAGCAGGGGCGGGTTAGGGTTCTCAGGACAGAAAGATGGACGGGCACACCAGCATCCCCCTCCCCTAGCCCACGGGTGCTGTATGCGTGTGTCACCCCCCTGCCCACGTACCCTTCTTTCAGAGCATTGGGCAGCTGGAGTCCAGCCTCTTTCTTCTTGGCCGTTGTGGTTTTCTTGCTGTCCTCCACGTCGTACTCCCGCACATCGTTCACCTCTTGCATCTGCCCCATCAGCACCTTGGCCACAAACAGGACGATGTACTGTGGGGGGAGAGACGCCGTCAGCCGCAAAAGCCAAGACTTAGAGCTGTTCCACCCGACCTACTCACTCCCGTTTGCTAAGTGGGACCTTTCTCTGCTGTCCCCAATCCCAAGAAGGGCAGGGCAGCTCCCTCAGGGATGGCCAAAGCCCTGGGATGTGGTCGATGACCCGCAGCAGTGGGAGGCAGCACCCCTGCAACCACCCTTACCAGATTTCATCTCCACAGGATGATGAACTCAGATGCTACTCAGCTCTGCCCAGGGTTGAGCTTGCTGACGTGAGCCCTCTGAGTCCACCCTTTTCACCCCCTCCCCAAAGCTTCAGGGGACGCCAGAGCAGTTACACCCATCTCAAGTTCCAGCCTGCCCCAACCGCTGTTATTGCTCCCCCCGCTGTGGATCCCCGAGGTCCGAGACGGTCTGAATTCCAGCACAGAGGAGCCCCCCAGGCACCGCCGTGGGTTTCTCTCCTCCCCTCCGCGCCATCCCCCAGTTCTCTGAAGTCTCCCCCTCCCCTGCAGTGCCCCCAAGACAGGCAGGCAGCGGGCGCTATGCAGGAGCAGCAGAGGAGGGAGAAGCTAGCGTAGGGGTTGCTGAGCTCCCCCTACTCACCAGAAACCAGTAGATGTTCATCAGAGTGAGGACAAGGAGCAGAGCATTGAAGAAGAAGTAGAAGGGGATATTAGGGACCGACTGGAGGCTGGAGTAACAAGTGGCGTAGAGCACCTTGAGGGGGAACCAGTAGAGACGGAACCAGAACCTGCCAGGGCAGAGGGAGCAGGGTGGGTTTAATGGCCCCCGAGGGAGGCGTGAGACCCAGCGCAGCTTCCCCCGGCACAACCTCCTGCCTCCGGACAGCCCCCACCAGCTCCCCTTGCCGCCCCCGAGCTTGGATCTGGCTTGGGCCTCCAGGCTGGCTCTGGACAGGACTTCACGCAGACCCTGTGAAAGGGCAGCTGCCGAAGGGAGGAGGTGATTTCTGCGGGCAGAGGAGGGCTTTCTCAGGGTAGAGAGGCAGGTGTCAGTGCAGATTCTCTCAGCTGGATGGAATACAGCCGGGAGGTTTTCCGAGTCCTGTGCATCCCTAGTTTATCCCTAAAAACCTTTGCCGTTCTCCTTCCCCTCAAATTGTTGCCGCTCCTTTCAGAGCGGCCTGCGGAGGGGGAGGAAGGAGACAAAGGGACAAACGAGTGACAACCTGTGCGTTACTCGTCTCTACTCTTCATCTTTATTTTCTCCTGCCTTGCCCCAAGAGGAATTGCAAGGCTGGAATCTAGGACAGCCCCACGTCCTATTTCCTTCTTGCAAAAGCGCTGCTTACTGCTAAAACCAAGCCAGTGGGAAAATGGAAACAGCTCCCCCTCCCCTGGGGTCATTTGTCATGCTGCAAGCGAGATTTCACAGGCACTTCTGTGGTGACAGACGGCAAAGTGACTACAGAAGGATTCCAAGCCCAGCATGGGGTCAGGCTCTGCGGGAACCTCTTCCCAAACAGTTTTTGAAAGGGTTTGTTCCCATGCGCACAAACCCAGCCGGCCATACCCCGGGGGCACGGGGGAGGGTTTGCAAAAGCTGGCAAGGACGGTTGGAAGCAGGATCAGGGCTGGGCAGGCAGGCACACTCACCAGCTGACGCTGAAGGTGAGGCAGCCGATGTTGGAGATGATGTCGTTCAGGCGATGATAGACTCCCCCCCGGTGCTTGAAGTAGACGTTGAGCTTGGTGAATTCCAGCTGCACATCGTTGACGTCATGCAGGAAGAGCACGAGGATGCCCACATTGTGGTACCTGCAGGAAAAAGGGGAGCAGGGAGGGAGACGTGTGGGGAGGCGGGTCGATATTAGCACCCAGGGTCCATCGGGCCAGGAGCAGACAGGTTCCCCGAATAGTCTGTGCGGCACAGCGCGGCAACGTGCTGCAGGGTGGGTCTGGCACTGTGCGACGGCTCACGGGCACCGGGATTGCTGCGGCAGCATGGAGGCAGGGGAGAACCCACACCGGTTCCGGCTACGTGCCCGTGAGCACAGAAAGGCTGCAGCTTTTGCTGCGTAGCTGCCCAAGGCTCGTTGGTGCAGAGGGGCAGCATCGCAGCCAGGGACCTCACCTGAAAGCGTAGGAGAAGGCTATGAGGGTCAGCGTGACCACGTGGTGGAGAAGCATGACAACGGAGTCCTTGCGCCACGTGTCCATGTAGGCGGTGGCGTAGATGGAGTGCCCGTAGAAGCTGCACTGCAACAGGTAGGCGATGGCGATGTCCGTGGGCACGTCCATGCCCTTCTTCCAGTCTGGGGTGGGACAAGAGACACCCGGGTGAACCCACAGCCACGAGCACGGAGCCTCCATCAGCAGCAGAGACAGGAGCGCGACCAGCGGGGAACCCGCAGCAGCCAGAGCTGCCCCAAGCAGCCCCCGCGCTTCTTCGCTGTGCTCAGGCGCTCCCATCCAGAACCTCACAGATGCGGAGGAAGCAAAGGCTGGAGGAGAACCCAGGTATCCAGGCTCCTGAACCCTGCCTTTGCCATTAGACCCGCTCTCTCCCCTAGAGCTAAGGGGGAAGCCTCGATTTACTTCTCTCCTGCCTTAACTACTGGATCCTGTTGCCCTCCGAGCGGACACATCCCCATCCCCGCTGTGTGCAATAGCCACTAGGTGACTCTCTCGGTAACGAAATGAGCAGAGACAGCCTGCTGTGCCCCTTCTGTACCCACAGCATCACAGAAAAAGCAATTCAGGGGCTCGGCCTTCTCTCTCGCTCACCCCAAGCCCTGTTCCCTTGTTAAACCCAGACATCCTGTGAACCTAGGGACATCCTAATCCATCCCCACTTCTCCCTGCGTTCTTACTGTACCATAAAAGACAGACGGTGGGTCATAGAAGAAGGGGTAGTCGGTGAAGAAGAGCAGGTAGATGCCATACGACCAGGATAATGTGTAGAAAAGCAGCTTCCAGGCACTCTCAGGCATCTTGGCAGCATCTTTCGGCTGCAAGTTGCACCACTCCCCGAAGGGCTGCAAGGAGAGGGGAGAAGGATCGTCACACAGGGCAGGACAGGCCCAGGGGAGCCCAGGGCAGAGCCCACCCCATCTCCAACAGACTCAAGCACTGCATGCCGTTTGCACCACCAGACAGGGTCCTGAACCCCATTTTTCCTTCTTTACAGCATGAATAAGGAGGTGAAAGAGGCTCTAGACAGAGCCTGAACCAGGGAAAAACACAAGGCTGGAGATCCTTCCGCTCAGCCTTGGCCATGCTGGAAAGCTCGTGGAGAAGGCAGAAGCCTACGGCATGCGTCCCACAGTCTGGGCACCGCTCCATCACCCTCGCTCCAGGAGCGGGGATGACCACAGCTGGCTTTTGCAGAACAGAGTCAATAACTAATAAAATAAAAATCAAGTCCGATCTGCACGAGGAAACCCAGAAGACGTATCCTGCGCATACGGACCTTGCGGCGCTGCCAACTCCCAGAAAAGAATCTTTCAACGGAGGAAGCAAAGGCTTTGCAGAGTCCTAAACACGCGGCCGCTGCTGCTCCCCAACCAGCACGGCATGAGACCCCCTCCGTGTGTTGCAACCAGCGCTGGAGGGGGCCAGATTTGCAGGTAACAGGTCAGTAAAGGCTGAGGCACTGGGTCCTCTCACTCCCCCCCAACCTACCCACGCTCACTCACATTCCCAGCAGCTTTTCTAGCTGACCAGCGCTGAAACGCTGCTGGTTTTTCCCCTGCACTGTGGTTTGAAGCACCCCTCCCACCGGTCAGGACTTAGAAATAGGAGGCAAAGCCTCCCCAAATATGGCCAAAGCGAGGGAAGGGAGAACGACCAGTTCTGCGGGTTGCTTGCACTAATCAGAACAAAACTTTCTCACGCCGAGTTCCCCATGCTCCCGCAGACGATGAGCACCAACCACCCAGCTCTGCCAACACTCGCGCTCTGCAGCGGCGAGAGAGCTGGGCCGCCGAGGCCAGGGACAACTCGGAAACCACAGTAAAAGCAAAGCCCCAGCATTAAACGACCTCAGCTCCCCAGGAGTAAAACGGAGCGGCTGACGCTACCCTTGGTCTCAGGCCGGAGAGCGAGCGATGCTGCACGCCGAGCGTGCCCCGAGCTCAGCCAGGCTCCGGGCACGGATGTTTTCCCTCCGTGGCAGCTGAGCAACACCAGGCACCACTTCTGCTTCTCATCACGAGAGCGACAGAGCCGTATCAGCCCAGTCAACCTCCGCAGCCCGCAGCTGCAGGGGAGTGGTTGACACGGGCGAGCGTTGCTGAAGGTCCAGAGGGAAACGTCGTTGCCTGAAATGCAGATAACACCCAAAGGCCCCTGGCTGAGAGCTCCCCAGGGAGAGAGCAGATAAGCTCGAGATGAAAACAAAATGCCTGCAACGTAACCGTACCCTGCCCCAGGTCAGCACTTTCTGCAGCTGGCGCTCAGCTCCTCGATGCTCGAGGGCTATATTAAGGCCCCAGCTGTCCCCAGGCAGCGGCTGCTCTGGCTTTTAGCCCCTCTCTGCATCACATTTTCAAAGGACTCCACTCCAAGCATTGTCCCAGCCTAGAAGCGCTTTGTTCTAAGCTCTGAATTTCTCAGCACTGGTCAGACCTGGAAGCACCAGCCCCACAAAGCTCTGCCAAGTTGTCCGTATCCCATCCAGCTAGAGAGGGGCAGCTCTGGCCTCCCCTACGCATCTCGCATTCAGAGCACGGCCGTCCTCATTGAGAGCGGGAACATGCCGCTGCCAAGGCTTCTTCCAACAGGAGCCGTGGCAGGAAAAAGAGAAGAAAGCTTGAAGGGTGAATAAATAATGCAGAGACAGAAAGTCCTGAGCCCAGAAAGCATGAATTATTTGTGTCTCCATACAGCAGAGCATAGAAGCAGCTCAGATATGGGGACAGCTCACCACGCCACCACGACAGCAAGCTGCAGAGGCCCCTGCCCTCCTCAGCTGGGGCTGAATTTAGGATGCTGAGCTCAGCCTCAAATCCCTGTTGCAGCCGATCACCAGCCAAGTCATTTCGCTTCTTCTCTGCACCTCAGTTCCCTACCTGCAAAGGGTGAAGGACATCATGTTTCTACCCCGGGTAGGCAAAGCTGATGACAAGGACCATCACCCGTGGGGCAGGCACACGCTGCATTTCACGGACACTCGGACCCTCAGCAGAGATGGCAGCAGCGTGGCAAATCGCCCCCGTGAGCCCGCAGTCACGGCCTGATGACGCTTCTTCTCTGCACCTCAGTTCCCTACCTGCAAAGGGTGAAGGACATCATGTTTCTACCCCGGGTAGGCAAAGCTGATGACAAGGACCATCACCCGTGGGGCAGGCACACGCTGCATTTCACGGACACTCGGACCCTCAGCAGAGATGGCAGCAGCGTGGCAAATCGCCCCCGTGAGCCCGCAGTCACGGCCTGATGACGAGTCCACCGCAGGCACGGCAGCAGCTCCCAGTCTGGAGCAAAAGCAAAACCCAGGGACAGGTTACCCCGCTCCAGCCCATGGCGGCTAATGCTCAGAGAGGTTTTAGCCCTCGCCGCATAGATGGCTCACGACAAGCCCTGGAGAGAGCCCTCCTCCTCCCTTACATAGCCACGGGGCATCTCAGGCCATACCCCCAGCACTACAGAAACGGGAGCTGGCCCCGGAGTGGACACAGGGATGTCCCAGCATCTCCCAGAGCCCCGACACACACGGGGGGGCAAATGAACATCCCCAGGGAGGCCCCACCAAAACCTGGACCGCTTGCACAAGGAAGCGCAAGCCGAGGAGAGCGCAGAGCGGCCCACAGCAGGCATCTCTGGGGGTGGGAGATGCGCAAGGTGGGGGATGTCCTCCCATTACCCGGCTGCCGTTCCCAAGACAACGGTGCAGAGATGCCTGTTGCTAAGGGTGACGGGTGCTGCGGCGGGAACAGCGGATCTGGCTCCGGCTGAAAGAGCCCAAGGCTCTTGGCAAGTGATGTAATGGAGCTTTGCTTAAAGGGCGAGCAGCTCTTCCTCCCTCTTCCTCCTCCTCATTACCCCCACGCAAACCTTCACAGGCATTTTCTGATTCACTTGTAAAATTATCCGGTCTGAGGGACGTGACTGTTCCCCCACAGCACCGCACAACCTGAGGGGTGGGGGGGAGGGAAGGAGCAAAGCGGCGGGGGAGTGCACGCTGCGAGAGCAGTTTCGGGCTGGAAACAGAAACCAAATGGAAACTGTCGCTGCCCACAGCTCTGCTGAAGTGTCAAAAAAATACTCGTAGCAAAAAGCAGACACATGCTCTCTCCCTTTTTACAGCCTCCGGCGCTAGAGGAAAGCGGCCAGTCCCCTTAAATCTACAACCAGTTAAAGCAGCAGGACACGAGTCCTTCCAGCAACCTGGCAGGCTTGTGGCGATGGGTTATGAATTGAGGTTTGTTACAGAGGAATCGTATCCCCCAGACTGTCCTCATCACCTCTGCCACCCCCTCAGCCTAGAGACAGGGACCTGGCCAAATCCCAGCCATGCCGCGTCTGGCTTCTGGGCACAACGAGTTCCCCAGAGGAACACAAAGGAATGGCTGGCACGAAGCATCCTCAGCCCGGGGAACTGGCAGCTTTACATCAGCTTTTACTCAATGCAGATGATGATGATGATCAAGCAGAGCTCCAATTCAAAACCTGGCCACAACCAACAGCTACGGCCCCTTCCGCGGCGGTGGCACAGCTCCCCGCAGCCCGGCATGTGGTGTCCCTTCCACCCCAAGGGACTACGTCCCCTCCGTACCCAGCCTGGATG